ACTGCTGCCTGGACCCTGTCCCATGATGGGGAGCATTGCGCCCCATGCTGTGTTGGATGAGGGCAGGAGCCATTGGGAACAGACCCCTCCTTCTCCAGCTGCCTCCAAGGAGCGCTTATAAATGGGTCTCTGTCACAATGGACTGGCCAGACAGGCTCTGCTGGAACCAGCCAGGTCCCCGAAACTTCACTGCACTGGCTGCTGTGACCCCCGGCCAGACCCTGACAGAAGAGCAAGGTGGAGGAGGAAATGTGAGCCTTATTTTTGTGTCTCCTTCCTGTTCCTCAGGGAAGAAGATGGCGCCATCCCTCGTTTCCACCGACCTGGTAGCCCCTTTGACCTGTGAGCCCCTTGGGGAGCCCTCCCCAAGGTCTGAGCACACCTGGAGTCTCTCCAGGACCTGCCTTTTACATTTTTTTAAAATTTTTTCTTCACTAAGCTTCATCCCCAACCCTTCTTATTTTTTATTTCGAGACAGAGTCTTGCTAAATTGCCCAGGCTGGGCTCCATTTGCAGTCCTCTCAGAGTACTGGAATTACAGGTATGCAGTACCATACCCAGCAGTTCCTGCCCATTTTAATGTCAGCAAGACACAAGCGAAGCCCAAGAGGACCCCTTCAGGTTGTGAAGTCTCCAGATAATAATTTGTGACTTAGCCTCTGTGCTCTTTACTCACTAATACAAGAAAGTTCTACATGGGGCTCAAAATAGAACACCCTTTGGTTTCTCCCCAGAGAATCCCCCCACCTGAGCCTGTGCCCACAGCCCTGAGGACCCAGGTGGAGCTGAGGGGAAGGTGCCAGGAGGCCGCCCCAAGTGGAAAGGCTGATTCCTGCCCCAGACATTAATGGATGGAGTCTGCACCCTGCCCAGCCTTGGCCCAGAGCCCATGATTGCCTCGCTGTTAGGAGAGCTGACGGGGATGGACAGGGCCAGACCCCATGAGTGGAGATGCTAGTGGAGCTGCCTGTGGATTTAGGGGAGCTGGGTTGTCTGGAACAGGGAGCTGCCTGGGGTAGAGGTGCCATTTGTGTCCTCACTTAGTGATTGCTGGTGGGGTCTCCACACAGGCCGGTGCAGGTACTGGGGTGCTCACAGCTGCACATCAGCTACAAGGGCCAAGTTCAGTCCTGAGACCCTGTCCCACACCCCTACCACCCCAAAGGCGCTAGCCCATTGTTTATGTCTTATGCAAGAAACAGAAGAGGCTCTCGGCTATCCCATGGGCCAGGTCTAAGTCAGGGACCTGGCCTCCTAATCCAGGTCCAGCCTCTTCTGCAAGGACCAGACACTGAAGAGCAAACTGGACCAAAAGTGGGAGCAGAGGGCCTGCTGTAGGGACATGAAGGGCCCTGCCAGAGCCTGGAGGATGGAAGAAGAGGGACAGCAGGACAGCCTGGGCTCCTGGCTGGGAAACCTTTCCAGTGTGGCTCTCCAGCACACAGGAGGCATCCAGGCCACGTCTTGGCCCAGCTCTTCCCTCTGCAGATTCTGCCTGATCCTCAATGGACAGGCCCTGCATGAAGAGGAGAGAGGAGCAGCTCCTCCTAAGGGGTCCTCCTGGGCCTTGGCATCTCCAGCTGCTCACTCGGATGGTTCTGGAATTCCAGATGTGGTGAAGGTGAGCCACAGGTAGAACAAGCTCTGCAGAGGAGAAAAGCCAGGGACTCCAGGAGCAGCACCTAACATGCTGTGTCATCTGCTCAGTCCTTGTTGTGTCCCCTACCCTGTGCCTCAGCCCCTGACACAGTACTGCCTACCAGCCCTCTCTCAGCAGCCCTTTCCTCTTGGCCTTCTGTGGGCCCATAGAACCCTGGCCTCCCTGCATGCCCCACGAGGACCAGCTCCTGTCTCCTCCATCAGTCTCTCTCTCTCTCTCTCTCTCTCTCTCACTTTTCCATCGTGTTAGCTCCGGTTGATTTAACCAGAAAACAACCCCCAGAATTTAATTCCGTGGTCCTCCATTCCCATCTCGATCAGCTCAGGGTCAGGAGGGGCTGTGTAATGAGAGGGGAGTGGAGGTAGCAGGAAACTTGGCTTCTCAGAGTCGGGGGGAAAAAGAAAATCATATTGATCCCCCGAATGACATCCATCAATCTTCTCGTCCCTGCTGTGGTTGGGAGATTGGACACATGCCTGACAGCTTTCCAGGCAGCTTGGTCCCCAGGACTTAACACAGAGGGTCTGTTTCTGGCATCCACTGTACTCCAGGGTCTGCCCTAGAATCCCATCCCTTGGGCCAGGGATATAGCTCAGCAGCATAAGCACCTGCCAAGTGCAAGGTCCTGAGTTTGATTCCCGGTACCCACAAAAAAAAAAAAAGAATCCCATCCCTTATCTTTTTCCTTAGCAAGCTATCTGGTGCCTCTGTAGTCACATTTTCCTATTCGCCTGGCTTCCTTTATTTAGTTGGAAGTTCATCTGGTTATCTAACTTCAAGTCAAATTCATAAGAAAAAGAAAAATTCATTTTCTAGATTTTTTTTTTTTAGTACTGGGAATTGAACCCAGGGCCTTTGCACTGAGCTACATCCCCGGCCCTTTTTTGATTTTTTGTTTTGAAACAGGTCTTGCTAAGTCGCTAAATTGCCCAGACTTGACTTGAACTCACAGTCCTCCTGCCCCCACCTTGCAGAGCACTAGGATTAAAAGGCTTGTGCCACCACACTTGGCTTCATTTTCCAGAATGCTAAGAGACTAGAGATATAATAAATGCTTAAACATCCTTAGAAAAGGAGACTGAGTAAATAATATCATTTTATTTGAGACTAAAAAGAATAGTTACAAATTGCCAAAATTTAGCAGCAGTGTTTGAGCAGAGCTGTGCAGGGGGCTCTGGGGCTCAGAGGAAAAGCACGCATGTGGTGTCAAGCCCGAAGCTGTGAGAGCAAACTGCTTTCAGGTGTGCACTCTGTGTGCAGGAAGCTCCATGAGAGAAGAGCTGAGACAGTGGGAAGGGCAGACAGCTGGCAGAACTTCCCAGCAGGTCAGCAGTCCTCCAAAGAGTTGAGAGGAGAGCCTCTCACCAAGTTCCCTGTTGGGTAGATGTTTCAGGAGACACCTGCCCCAGAGGCAGGCTCTAGATGCAAAAGACCCAGAGGAAGAGCTTCCCCAGCCACCCCTACAGGCTGGGGTGCAGGGCAGTGGTGCCGCTGGACCCTGAAGGGTTAATGCTATTGTCTGAAAAACCACATCGCTCCCCTGGGAGCTTGGAGATCCCGCTCTCATTTTAAGTAACCCTAACGCGAGCGTGATGAGCGAAGGGTCGTAGCTGGGCTGGGCGAAGAGCGCGCCAGAAGGAAGCAGGCTGCACCGCGGGAAGGGACTCTGGTAGGTCTGCGGCGGGGCTGGCGCAGAGGGACTCCTCCTATGCACCCACCCTGCCCAACTGTGGAGCCTCTTTAGGGCAACTGGGAAGGGGAAAAGAAGGACACCCCAGTCCTGAGTGGAGAGGGGAGTCCCAGGGCCCCACTGACGCTGCCTGAGAAGTGGCAGGGCTCTTCCATCCAGGTATGGAGCAGCCACAGAGACAGGTGCTGGCCTTTCAGGGCAGACTGCACCTTGGTATCTGCAGGAGGACATCATAAAGACAGTGGGTCCAGATAGGATAGAGCTGGGCTTAGCTGCCAACTTCCCAGGGCAGAGGGTCTCCTGGGATGAATGAGTCTGTGAACTCTGGGGCTGAATGAATGAAGGTCTTAGCGTCTCCCTCTCCTGCTGTCTGTGACATGGGGCGCTGTGTCTCAGTGTGCTCCCTTCTGCCATCGGTACAGCTGAAGCTGGAAAACAGTGAGTAAGGACCGGCAAGCAGCTAGTAGCCACTACTGGGCAGAGAGAGGCCAGTGAGGCTGTGGGCATCACTGCCTGGTGATAGGAAGGAGTAGGGACAGGAAGAGGGCACCAGGACAGGGAGAGCTGGCATGTGCTCCCCGCTGAGCCAGGCTGGCACGAAGTGAATTGAAACGTGTGATGAGGTGAGAGGATTCTGCCCATCCACTGCCTCCCTCCCTTCCTCAGACCCCCAGGAACTAGAACCAAGAAACCTGAAAGCTTGGGCCCCCCACCCCATTTCCTTGTCTTCTCCACCCAGAGAGGATGCCTGGTGGCACAGCGAAGCTCTGCCTCTCAATCCCAAGTCCTTCCCAAGGAAAGGGCAGGGCGAGGGCCAGGAGACTCTGGGAGCTGGGGCCCCCTGCATGCCAGCCTCTTTCTGGCCCTGCTCTAGGGCAGTGGTGCCCAGGGGGCGGAGGGACCAGGGTACATGAAGAGCCTGTTGTTGGAGTTGGGGCTTGGTGGAAATTGAGGGATTCGTGTTAAGTCTGGGGTCTGGGCTGAAAGAGGACATGGAGACTGAGGTTGGCTATTGAGTCAGAAGGCGTCAGAGGCCCTGGCTGGGGAGGGCCACCTCAGATACTTGCTGCTGTCAGTGCAGTCCTGGTCCTTATGATTCAGCCCCAGGCCCTTCAGCCAACTCATCCAGCTCAGCTGTTTGCTAGAACTTTCACTTCCTCTTCTTGGGATCTGGCTCCTCAGCCGCCTCAGGGCCTGCTGGAGGGGATTTCGCCTCCCTAGGAGACTAAGGATGGGGGTACCCAGGGGACGCCCCCAGGGCACAACTGGGAAATGGAGGGAATGCTGAGGTTGCCACTGGGACCCTGGGAGGGTCTGGGGCAGAAGTGAGGGAGTGGGGAAGTGAGGCCAGGGCTGGGAGAGAAACGGGAGGGTTCAGCTTCCATCTCTGAGGCACAGGAAAGGGAGGGAGACCAGAGAGGAAGGACAGAAAGGAAAAAGAAAACAGAAAGTGAGGAGAGCCAGTGACAGAAGCAGAGAAAGAGGTTGGGCAAGAGGCGTGAGACAGAGGCCACACTTGAGAGGAAGAAACCAGGCAACAAAGAGACACAGTAAAGACAAAGGGGAACAGAAAAAGAGTGGGAGAACATGCCGCAAAGCGAGTGACGGCAGGGGAGAAAACCAAGAGCCGCTGGTGGGTAGGAGGAGGAAGGAAGGCGGGAAGAGTGGAGGGGAGGAAAGGGCTGAAACTGGCAGTGGGAGAGCAATGAGCTGAAGACGAAAGGTCAGAGCGAAACAGAAACCTGCAGGGGCCGGTGGGACGGTCCCAAGCCTGTCGCTGGATACCCCTGGCTGCTGAGAGTGTGTGAGGCCGCCACTTCCCCCTGACCTTCGACTGCCCATTGACACGGGTCTGAGGGACATAGGTGTGTTGGTGTGGACATAGGTGTGGTGGGACACAGGTGTGTCTGGGCTTGGATTTCTGCTCCATGGAGTTACACAAACCTTTTAAATCCCACAGCCGCCAGAGATGCAGAGACAAGAGTCACTGCAAAGGGTGGGGCCCAGGAGGAAGGGCTGGGGGACAGCAGAGATGGAGAGGGGTGCAGGGTTGGTGCAGGACCCCTGCGAAGCCTCTCCAGAGCTGAGGCTGCAGGAGGGAGCTAGGCTCCCAAAACCCACGTCCAGGAGGGCTCCTTGCTGCCCTGGAGCCTCTGCCCCCATGCCCCTCTGTCAGGGAGGAGGGAAGGAGACCAGAAGGGAGGCCAAAGGGGGCATGTACTGCTGCCCTTCTCCAGCAGCCCGAGGAAAAAGGTGGCCAGCTCTGCTCTTCCCGGCCCCGGCCGCGGCCCCTCTTTCTCTTCTACCTAAGCAGCTTTAACTAATAGCATTATAGAGGTCTCAGGACTAACCAATCTCCACTTGGGGCTGAGATCAAGGGAGAGGCCAGAGGGTTCTAATGAGATTGGGGATTTGATGGATGGGAGGGGGTGCACAGTTTGTTCAAAGATAACAAGCATGCAATATTCCCTGGAGACTGCCAAGCTCTGAGGGGCTTCTCTTCCTTGTAGCCTGGCTGGTTTCTCCGCTCTGATCTTAAACACCATCACACCACCATACCCCCCCCACTCCCCACATCCTCCAAACTCCTACGACCCCGCCCCAAGCTGTACTCTGAACCTCCCCTGGGCTGGACTTAGGCTCTACATCACTGTTTCTGTCTCCTTCTCTGATTCACTGTCCTCGATGACTCTCACAGCCTGCTCCTTCAGCTGCCTTTGTGTTTATAAACAGTTCTGTTTTCCCACTAAATCAATCAAGCAGTCACTGAAAAGACCTGGTTTTGTCCAATCAATCAAATTATTTAGTCAGTCTACACTGGCTGCTTAAAAGGCTGCAACAGCAAAGTGATTTTCCATGCAGGTCTCTGCTTTGCATGTGGGCAGCGCTGGGCTGAGCACGCTGACGTTCTCAGCACTGAGGTTCATATATGTGCGATGTTTCTGTCTTCTTCATCCTCTCTGCATTGCCCTCTGTCCATCTGGCTGGCTGTCCTCTGACTTCCCTGGGTTTTTGCTGAAATTTTTTCTGGCAGGGAGCCCACATCTGAGCCCCTCCTTCAGCATCCAGGGCCCACTGCCAGCCTCACCTCCCTGCCCTCAAAGTTTCACCCTCAAACCTTCTGCCCTGATTGTCAGATGAGAGCCAAGAGCCTGGAGTCAGACAGACCTGTTTCCATCCAGCTCCGCCACTTGGCTAGGATCTTATGCAAGTCTCTTAATCTTTTGAGCCTTAATTTCCTCACCTTGCAAAATGTAGCCAGTACCCACCTCAAATGGCTATTGTGAAGAATCAATGAAATAACGTGGAAAAAAAGTGTGGTACCCAATTCGGGGCACACAGTGGGGGCCCGAATCACATCAGCAAAAATTGTTAAAAAGTCAGATCTGCTTTGGATGTTTCCTTTAGCTGCAAACCCCAGTTTAGGACTTTCTCTCTATCCTTATCGCAATCATCTATATTGCCTTTATTAAATAATGACCTAAAACCTTCATGGGTTGTAATGAACACTTCTATTGGCCAAGGGGATTAATCTATTAGTAGTAATCTGAATGATGGTGATGATGACAGTAATAATTGCTCCCTACCATAACCATTCCAGAAACACAAAGTGCCTTAGAGAAACCATACTGATCATTTGAGATTGAGTTATGATCTTTTTGATTTGATTCTCAGTTCTCAGCCCCCTCTAAGGCCACTGCACAGACCCAGCTGTGGGGCTGTAGGGGATAAAGGGGCTGTAAGAGCCAGTTGGAGCCTCAGAGGCTGTGTATGACTCAGGGCGCAAGAGGGAAGGAGCAGGGGCCCAGAGGGAGGGGGAGGGCACCCAGCAGAGCACCTCCTAGCCTTGGCAGCTGGCAGAGCCACTGCACAAGGAATTAAGGTTAAATGCCAAGGACAATTCTCAGAATGCGGACACAGGACAGAAGCCTGCTCTTCTCTAGGAGCCCCCCACAGTCAGCCTGAGGGGCTCAAGCAGAAAAGAAAAGACTTGTGGGTGGATGTTTGGCAGGATTTTTCAACAGTAAGACTTTCCGCACCCAGAATGCAGACTTCTTAGAGAGCAGAAGCTCCAGGAGCACTCACAAATCTGGGGGCGGGGTGCTTGGGAGGAGGCTGTTGGTATCAGGAGACCAGGAGACTTGACCTCACCTGCAGACAGCACTTTGGTTTTTTATTTGGGTGTTCTTTTTTGGGCTGCCTAGTTGGCTAAGCCTTATAAATCTTACAGCAACATCTTTCTACTCTTTCACTTGTAGTTGTGTGGCCTTAAGTTGTGCAGCACTTCTGAGCCCTACCTTGTGGGAGATCTCAGCACATTCAGTCTTAATCCGGTAGCACTGTGCAGGACACAGGGTGTGTCTGGTCCGGTAAGTGGCAGGTGTTTATCATCTTCTTGCCAGATCCTAAATCTATTGAGATCTCTGCACCTCCAACCAGGAAGCACCATCAGATCCAGCAGGCAGCAGGAATTCTATCAGCTTCCTTCCAGGAACATTTCTCCCTAGAAACCTCTGCACATACATTTCTCAGCCGGCTGCATTCTGAAACTGAGGTAGAGAGCTCCCAAGCTAAGATTATACCAACAAACTTTCTAATGGCTGGGCAGGAAGGAGGGTGAGAGAGGAGAGGGGGCTTCTGCTTCAGGAGAGAGTGAAGGGAAAGGATTCCAGATGTCAGCTGTTAGTTTTCACTTTTTGTGTGTGTGTGTGTGTTTGTTTCTTTGTGGTGCTGTGGATAGAACCCAGGGCTAGCTGGGCATGGTGGCACATGCCTGTAATCCTAGCTCTCAGGAGGCTGAGCCAAAAGGATCACTGAGATTTTGAGGACAGCCTGGGCTACATATTGAGTCCAAGCCCTGCCTGAACTACATAGTGAGACCCTGTCTCAAAAAAACAAAGAACCCAGGGCCACTGGAAGACTAGGCAAGCGCTCTAATTCTCCATTACTGAGCTTCTCTCCACCCCAACTGTAAGTTTAGGCACTGCAAGTATGCGTGGATCTACCCACCGCCCTGCTTTCCGAACTTTCCAGAGGTGCTCTCAGCCCAGGCCAAATCAAACTCCAATGGCCTGTCAGGTCAACCATTGATTCCGAGGCACTGAGTAGATCCTGGGGAGCAAAGGGCCAGCAAGAGGCCACATGGCCTTTTGGCGCTGGGAGTGGGAAGAGTCAGGAGGATCCTACAACTTGAGGTGTCTGGGATTCTCTAACATTCTAACACCTATGGCTTCTTTTTCAGGGGTTCTTGCTACACTAAGTTTGGCCCAAAGACCAGCAGCAGCAGCATCTTTAGGAGCTTTTTAGAAATTCAGAATCTTGGGTTCACCCATTCCATCTGAATCAGAATCTGCATTTAAAGCAACTCCAGAATGATCATTATGCACGTTAAATTTGAGAAACACAGCCATAGATGATTCTTGGTTTGGTTTGGTTTGGTTTGGTTTGGTTTGGTTTTTTTGAGACAGGGTCTCCCTATGCAGGCCAGGCTTGAACTTGCTAGGTAGCCCAGGCTGGCCTCGAACTCATGATAGTCCAGCTTCAGCCTCTTAAATCCTGGGATTAAAAGCACCCACCACCAAGCCAGGCTAATAGATTATTTTTTTAAGTGTAAGGAGCCCAGTCCAGACACAGTGTCACATGTCCTCCAGACATGAGCGCCTACAAGTCCTAGTTCATAACAGTGCTTCCCTCGTGCCAGCTCCATCAGAGAGGGCTCCAGAGCCTGGTCCCAGAACCCTGCTGGTACACAGTCCAAAATATCCAAGAATCTCCCAGCCCAAAGGCAGCCTCATGTCCTGCATCCCCATAACAGCCTTTCCTGTCCTTCCTCGATCTTTCTGCACATGGCTACATCCAGTGGTGATCGTGGAAAGCAGCCTTTTGCACTATCATCCTCTCTTCCATTTAAAGGTTTTACTCGATGGGTTTTTTTCCTCCTTACATCTGCATCATGCAAGTCTATCTCAGTGTGGCTCATTCCCTTCCCTTCCCTCCCCAGGAGAGAAACAGCAAGATCCCCTCTTCCTTGCCCCTGGTTCATTAACTGAACAACTATTTTCAGAGCACCTGTGGGTACAAGGCTGAGCCCTGTCCTGGGTATGAGGAAGTTTCCTGCTTCAGCCTCCCTTTTCTCGCTTGGACTTTGCTCTCTTTCCTTCCTGACCTTCTCTATTCCTTCTTTCTTTCCCTTCCTCTTAAGAGGTGACTGCCCCTCTCCCAGGACTCAGCCTCAGCCCTCTCTTGCCTGCAGTGGACCATGCACTGTAGCTGCTTGGCCGAGGGCATCCCGGCCACCCCTGGCAACTACTGGATCTCAGGTGAGCCTCTCTGCCAGGTTCCCCATACTCTTACAGTTGCTGTGAGTGGGGCCTCAGAGCAGCAGGGCAGCCCTCACACTCCCTTCCCCATCCCAGGCTTGGCCTTCCCTGACTGGGCCTACAAACCCGAGTCCTCCCCAGGCTCCCGGCAGATCCAGCTGTGGCACTTCATCCTGGAGCTGCTGCAGAAGGAAGAGTTCCGCCATGTCATTGCCTGGCAACAGGGAGAATACGGGGAGTTCGTCATCAAGGATCCAGATGAGGTAGCCCGCCTCTGGGGCCGCAGGAAATGTAAACCACAGATGAATTATGACAAGCTCAGCCGGGCCCTCAGGTGAGACAAGTTGGCCAGCACAGCCAGAGAGGGCAGAGTTCAAGGACAAGGGCTGTGGTTCTGGCACCCCTGTCCGATTCCCACTTGCCCCAGGCTTGGCAAATGTCTTTGCCCGAGGAACATTGCCTGTTGTCCTCCAGGAACAGCTCCGTTTGGCCTTGCTGGCTTGGGGAGGGCGACTCTGATGCTGCCTCTATTCTAACCTCCATTCTCCAGGTATTACTACAACAAGAGGATCCTGCACAAGACCAAAGGCAAAAGGTTCACTTACAAGTTCAACTTCAGCAAGCTCATTGTAGTCAACTATCCTGTGTGGGAGGTGCGGGCTCCACCCTCTCCCTGCCTGCTGCTGGGGGCCCCTACCCGGTGTCGGCCAGCCTTTGTGCCCATGGGTGTGCAGAGTGAGGTAGGCATGAGGGTGACCCTTGACTCAGAGCTCCACCAGCACTTGTCCCTCTGCCTAGGAGGCCCCCATCCCTGCTCTCTACCATGAAGACCCATCTTCCTCCAAGGGTCTCCTGCATCCTAGCCCCTGAGTAACCCAGAGCAGTGGTGCTCAGCAATCTATCTAGGACAGCTCCTACCACTGAGCAAGGGCCACTTCTGTACTAGGCATCCCTCCCTCGACAGTGGAACAGGGGGAAGTGGGTACTTGTCTAACCAGGACATGGTGCACGTACATATTGGAGGACAGGTGCCAGGGAGGAAAACAGACCGCACCCCACCCTGTAATTCCTCAGCTCCTGCCCGGCATGCTGTTCACCCATCAGGCCATGGCAGAGCAGCTGGCCAGAGAACGGACCCCCCAGGAGTCCCCAGAGGTCTCTGAGAAGAAGGGGAGCAGCAGCAGCCAGCACCGTGAGTGTCTAGGATGAGGGGGACAGAGAATCTTAACAGAGGAGGGGGAGGCCCTCCTGGCTGAGGATAGGGCCCAGCAGACTTGAGACAAGGTACACAAGTCCTTTAGTCATTCAACCAGCATTTATTGAGCACCAGCTATCTACAGGTGTAGGGACTCAGAGACTCAAGAAGCTCAGAGCCCAGTGGGGAGCAAAGAGGGAGGACAGCCAGTAACCCAAACTGAGACTCAGGTAAGCACAGGTTCGGGGGGGGCCAGAGAAGTCAGGGGCTCCTGGAGGTAGTGACACGCACACAGTAAGAAGGTGGAGAAAGAGGCCCTGGCAGAGTGAATAGCTCCAGTAGAATAAAAAGGCATGAGTAAGCATAACAGAGCTGGCAGGGTGCTGGTAGGTCCCTGGGGTCACAGTGAGTTCTGTGGTGAGGGTTGGAGCAAATGGGAGTGAGGAGAGACGAGAGAGAAAGAGAGAGACAGACAGACAGACAGACAGACAGACACGGGTATCCTCTCCCTCAGAGCAAAGCAAACAGGTATCCTCTCCCTCAGAGTCTCGGAAACCATTCCATGGGGATCAGACCTTAGCCCATGGCCAAGAGGGTCCTAGAAGGGACCAAGGAGGAAGAAGCATGTTCAATTTTCATTTTATAAAGATTATAGAAGGCCCCAACTCACAATGTTTTCATTTAGAATACTTATGATTGTGCAGGGGTGAAAAACAATCCGTATTCAGTAGAAAGCACACTTGCAATTTTGCATTTTGATCTTTCCCTGGCTCGCAATCCAAAGTACACCGCAAGCCTCAGTTCCCAGTCCCTGCACCATCATGCTGGCGACCAGCCACTACTCTCCATGCACTGTGTACTAAGCTGTGACACTCTGTAGCTTAGGTGTATTAAATATCTTTTTGATATGTTTGTTTCTGCAGTACTGGGGGTGGAGCCTAGGGCCTCACACATGTTAGGCAAGCACTGTACCACTGACCTATATCCTTGGCCCTTTTTAAAATTTTATTTTAAGACAGGGTCTGTCTAAGTTGCCAAGGCTGTCCTAGAACTTTTGATCCTCCTGCCTCGACCTCCCAAGTAGCTGGAATTATAGGTATGTGCCACCACACCCAGTTTACATGCATTTTTGACTTATGTTATTTTCAGCTTACAATGGGTTTAGCAGGCACATAGCCCTACTGTAAGCTGAGGAGCGTCTGTGCTAAAGTTGTGTGTAGCTGGGATTAGAGGAGGCACAAGCCTGGTGTTGGAGGCTTTAGAAGATTATTTAGGCAGGTGATGATGAGGCCAGAACCAGATAAGGATCAGAGGTAGAGAAGGAGGCTCAGCAGAAGAGAGACAGGGAAGACAAAGTTTCTTATTTTATTTGCTTACTTACTCATTTCTCTCATTGAATGTTTAATGGGCTCCTGTTTAATGTGCCAGGCACTATCCTTGGGCCTGACCCCGCTGAGCAGAGCTGCCTTTCAGTCTTGTGGGCAGACTTTCCATTACTAACACACCTGCCATTAGAATTGCACTCCCTGATACAGAGGAGAATTTGAGGGTGCGGAGGACATCAGGGAAGACTTCCTTGACAAAGTGACATTTGAGCTGAGGCCTAAAGTATACATAGCTAAGCTCAGAGGGAGTGGGAAAGGCCCTGGGACAGACAGAGCAGCTGGAAGAAGGCCAGCATGGTGGCATATGGGAGGGAGTGGGAGGAGAGGGTGGAAAGTAGGCAGAAGCCAGTCAGTTTCTGCAGCAACAGTTAGATTTCCTGTGGAAAAGATCACAGAGCCCCAAGAACTTTGTCTTCATTCCAGCCAGTTCATGGGCTGACGGCCCTTGGCCTCCACCCTAGGCTGTGTGCAGCTGGGGACCCAGTCTCTGTGCCCCTGCGTGTACAGCTGAGTGCTGGGTGTGGGCAGCCAGGGCAAGCTGGGACTCGCTGTGCCACCAGGATGGCAGCTGGGATCTGAATAGCACCTGCACAGCCCTCCCTGTCCCTCCACCCCACCACCCCTCCCAGCTCTGGGAGTGCCCTGGGCACTGAGTGTGCCTCTCTGGGAAACCATGAAGGGAGGGAAAGTGCCCCTGCCAAGCCCCAGCTTGTGAGTTCATCACACCTCCCTGTCCCCCTGAAGAAGATAAACATACATGCACACACACTCACGCACACGCTGCCTGTGCTGAGGCCCTGAAGGACACAAAGCAAGTTTGGGTCACAAGATTAGCAGCTCCTGCGTACCCCAGCTCTGCACTGGAGTTCCAGAACACTGTACTCATCTCAACCCACCCTTGCTCGAAAGGAAGCTGTGCAGGGCGGCAGCATGCAGGGACTTGAGGGCATCGGTTCCACAGGTCACTGCAAGGGCAGAGGCAAACTTGCCCCTGGAGCCTATGAGACACAACCTTCCTGGGAAACAACTGCCCCACCTTATGTAAGGCCCACAGGGAAGGTGAGCTCCAGCAGAGGCCCCACGCTTTTCCTCATGGAGGAGCATCGTGTTTCTCCCTTCCCAGATCCTATCAACCTGCATGCGTGAAGTCCTAATTGGTTACCCAGTTGTATTCACTGTGGCCCCCTGCCATGTGACCATATTAGGTTGATGCTTGCTCTTTGAGTTAAATGATGTGGCCTCACTAAGAAAAGTGTGGACTGCAGTTAGGATTCTGGAAGTGCAAAAAGCAGTATGGAGTTCCAGCTAATTGGCTCCAGGGGTCCAGGTGGGAAGCAAGTGAAAGGGAGCAGATCTGGAAGGACTGGGAGCAGGGAAGCCTCCTTGGAAGGAGCACTGTGGTCAGGGCAGACAAATTCGAAGCTCACTCCACACCCAGCCTGGGCCCTTCTCACCTGCGATGCTGCCTGGTCTTAGCCAAGAGACAGGCCTTTGTGACAGAGAGAGGCCTGTGCATGTCAGGGACAAGCCCAAGGCTATACAACCAGCCCTTCACCCAGCTAGAATCAGAGCCTTTGCTGCAGGGGCAGGGAGTGAGGAGTGGATTCCTTGAGCTATGGCAAAGGATAGCCTTCATTCCTTCTCTCGACACCTTTTTTTTTTTCTCTCAGTACTGAGGATTGAACCCAGGGCCTTCTCACTGAGCTACAGTGAGAAGCTCTCTTTTCATTTTTTATTTTGAGACAAGTTCTTGCTAAGTCACTGAACTGCCTAGGCTGGGCTCAAATTTGTGGTCCTCCCACCTCAGCATCCCAGAGTGCAGGGATTACAGGCAAGCACCACCACACCCAGATCAATATGTTTTTTTATTGAGCACTAAATCCCTGCCGAGGTGGGCTTGATTCAGGGGAGATGAAAGTAGATACAGTTCCTGCCCCCACAGAGATGAGGACACAGACATTAGACAAACAGGCCCAAGAGAGAGTGCGGGATCCTAGCTGAGCTAAGTGCCCTGCGAACAGGGGCGGGAAGGAGGACGGTGGGCAGCAGCACTCCCGCCCAGGCTGGAGAGTCTGGAAAGCTTCCCCAAGAAGGGACATCCCTGAGGAACCTGCAGAAAAGCAAACCAGCCCGAGGGAGACAGGAAGAAACTTTCAGCAGGATATGGAAAGGGAAGGGAGGCGAGCTCAGCGTCTCAGCACTCTCCTCACCCTTCCTCTTTCTCTCCCCAGGACTTGGCTCTGCCCCCAACCCCTCCTGGCTCAGGCCATGCTGCCATCTCGGGGGCCTCCAGGGCGGGCTGTCCAGCTTTGCCTCCTTGGTCCCTACCCTCCCGCCTCTTCCCTCCCCCTGGGCCTGCCTCTCAGGGCCCTTCCTGCCTCCTCTCCTTGCAGAGCAACAGCTCCGAAGCTCCTCCAAGCCGGCCATTCTGCTCCCAGGGCCTGGGTGTCCCCCAGGGCCCCAACAAGCTCCAGGGCTCCCCTTGATGGCCAGGCTGGGACAAGGGATGGGTGAGAGGCTTCCCACGTCATTGCTCAGGCCTAGGGGGCTGGAGGTAAAGTCTGACCCCATGATGGGAGCAAAGGGGTGTCTGGACCCCAGAGAGGGCTTCTCCCTGGAGACCCACACAATGGAGCTTGGGGAGGACAACCCTGCCTCCCCCAGCCTGGAGTACCTCAGAGCACTGTGGCCCTTGGATCCTCCTTAACTGGAGCAGAAGACGAAAGCATCTCCAAACTCTGTCCCCTCTGGCCAACTTCTTCTCTGGTTTTGCTGGACACAAGTGAGACTGCAGAAGGCTTTGAAGAGGTGACTTAGACCACTACAGAGGCACAAATGTGGGGGTGGGAGGAACTGAGGCAGGGCCCCCTCCTCTCTCACCAAATTGCTCATCAGACTGAGAAGTCTTGGTCTCAATTTTTTCAGAGAGAGGGAGGATTAATACAGTTTTCACCTTTTGCACCATCCATCCCATACCTGCCCATGTCAGGAGGAAATCAAGTGTCTTCGCTGGGGAGGGGCCAGGGATGCCTCCCATGGCTCCTTTTCTGTGGGCTCATCTCACTGTCTAGGCTAAGGTCTCCGTCCCCCCACCACTCTTCATGCCTTCTCTTCCATCCCTTGGAAACTCCAGTCGCCTTCAGGAGCTTCCTTCTACCTCCTCTGCCCCAGGCAAGTGGGAGGAAGGGACTGCTTCCTGCCTCTGTAATACTCCCCACTGGCCAGGAATAAAATGCCCTTGGCAAACTGGCCCCTTAGTGCGTGACCGCCTCCCTCCCTCCACTGGGTCCCAACTGCCCGCCAACTGCCCGGAGCGCCTGTTTCTGATCCCAGGCAGAGCTAAACACCACCCATGAGGCCTGCAGGAAGGGGCTGAAGGCTTCAGGGAGGCCTGGGAGACTGGAAACAGCCAGTCTCCTTGCCGCCATCGCCATCGGCTCTGGGAAAGATAAGGGCTGACGGAGCAGTGGCCCTGCAAGCTCCTGTAGATGAGGGAAAGCAGCCTCCAGAACTTCCAGCAGAGCAGGAGTCTTTCAAAATGACCCTCAGCCCCCTGCTACGGCCCCCTGAGCAGAACTCTGAAGACTGGGGAGAGTGAGGAGGCCACTGGCAAACATTCCTCTTCCTTTGACCTTCCCCCTGCACTGGCGTCCTGAGACTAACAAGGGAATAGATCTAAAGCATCAGGTGATTTGGGGGGGGGGTATGAGGGAGAGGGGTCTGATGCTCAGTCAAGGACAAGCCAACAGACAGAGATGTTGCAGGAGCCAAGGCACTGAGCCATACTGCCCTCCTTTCTCCAAGTGGCAAACCCCACACTAGGTTTGTCTCCAGTCCTTTCTGGGGAGGAACGGAAGGTCCCTTTGTCCATTCTTTGTCCCTGCCCTTCCAGTCTCCCCTCAGTGGAGGCTCCTCTTGCCTTTACTTTTCAATTTAATTTTTGTTTCATTTTGTTTTTTGAGACAAGGTCTCGCTATGCAGTTCAGACTGTCTTTAAACTCATTATGTAGCCCAGGCTGGCCTTGGACTTGCGGTGATCCTCCTGCCTCTGCCCCTGAGTGCTGGGATAACAGGCATGCGCCACCACATCGGCCACCTTTGCTTTCTGCTGCTGCTCCCCCCTTCCTGTGGCGGACACAGTGATAGAGGACTGAGAGACAAGGAGAGAGCCAGAGGGGGCCAGCGAGGGCTTAGCCCGCAGGAAGTTAGAGAGGAGCCAGGAGCCCAGCCCCTGCTTTCCAAGCTAGGCCAAGGCCAGGGCAAAGGATCTATGAGAACTCTGTATCTCAGCCCACACGCCAAAAAGGATACCCCAGATTCTTCCCTGGTAGTTCCCATCTGTCCCCAGAGCCAGGGGCCCATCCCCCACCCTGCAGGAAGGGCCAACCCCAGGGGCTTTCCTGTCACCCCGCTCACAGGGTGAGGCAAAGAGCCACCACTATGTGACCTGCACAAGGAAGCAGGGGTATGTCCTGGGGCTTGGGTTCTGCTTAGAGGGGCCAGCCCCAGGGGCAGGGCTTTCTCCATAATGGGGACCCTTGCATGCCCTTGGCCTGACCCCACATGTTCTTCAGAGTCTTGTGGTAGCTGTGACCACTGCATTTTATGCAGTGAAAATGCTTTGAGGTCATTATTCCAAGATTTTCCTTCAGCGTGGGTGAACCTGGGCCACGAAAAGTTCAGCCCAAAGAACTTACTTCCAAGTGACTGTCTCTTTGTCTCAGGTGACAGATTCAAGTAGAGCAAATTTTCCAACATCTTCAGAGGCATAATTCATTATTGCCCTGTGCTTTCCTGGATTTCAACGGCATCTGGGGCTCTCTCCCAGTTGTCACAGCCCAAAATGTCTCCAGACTCTAAAATGCCGCCTGGGAGGAGTGGGGAATCACCCTCAGTTGAGAACCACTTCAGTAGAGTGACTTTGGCAACCCCAGATGTTTTGCAGAGATGGACCCAACTTCTCCGGAGAGAGGTTTGGTGTCCACACCGCAAGAGTGCCCTCTGGTGGCCAGAGTCGGTCCCGGCGCCCAGCTCAGGAGCTGGCTGGGTGAGCAGAACCCACAGAGGCGATGGGAGCCCTGAGGAAAGAGCTGCAACATGTAGTTTATGAGAATTCTCCACTTCAAACCTCCTTAGCAAATCCCAGACAACACACCAAAGGGTCGGCCGGTCCAGTGTGACAACAGACTCTGGGCTGTGAGTTCTGGTACAATCCTGCCCAGACAGCATACCCTCTGACCTGCAGCCATCAGCCTCACCTGGGGACAGCAGACATGGGTGCTCAGCCTCCTGCCAGGAGCAGAGAGGGCAGGGACCAGACACAGCAACGTCAGCTCCTCAACACCACCGCTCTGGCCTCAGCTCAGTTGTGTCAAAGATGCCGACAGACCACCCAGGGGCTTTGAGAATCCTCAGCAACCAGACCCCCTGGGCTGCATGAATCTTACACTGTCAGGAGCCAGAAAGGATGTCTGAGATCAAGTTCAAAACCTCTAATTTTACAGGCCTAGAGAAAAGGGACTTGTTCCAAATCATACACATAGAAGAACCAAATTTAGAATATAAATTTCCTAATTATCAGTTAATGTTCTTTCCATCTCACCATAATCACTCAGCTCAAGAATTTAAGAGGTACTTAAAATTCCTTAGATATAAGAGTATATTAGATGTAGATAGGGAAATGTAGAAGTTTTTTTCTTCCTTCAATAGTGGGGATTGAACCCAGAACCTTCACACTGAACTACAGCGAAAGCCCCTTTTTTATTTTTTATTTTGAGACAGGGTTCAAAATGGAGAGCCTAAGTTCCCAGGCTGGGCTTGAACTTGTGATCCTCCCACCTCAGCTTCCTAAAAAAGTAGGGTTAGAGGTGTGCATCACAGTGCTCCTCTTCTGTGTGATTTTTAATGACCACAGCAGAAATCATTTTCCCTTTTGTGTACATTTTGGCAACTGATTACGTACTGTCTGGTGCTGGCCCCTAAGTGTCTCGTGGGCATCAAAGCTGTGTGCCCACAAAGCTGGTATTCTCTTGTGAAAGGCAAGGTGTTTGGTCACTAGAATACTTGATTAGCAAGTGAAAGATGCCCAGAGATTCAAACACTAAACAAAAGCAAAATATTTGTTGTCCAGAATTGCTGGCAGTGAGGTCAGTCCTCACCTATTTTCCTTCATTCCCTAATGAGAACCTGACCAGAGAGGAGGGGAATCCAAGCACTACAGGTCATGTATGGGCACCCACGCGTCACTGGTGCCAGAGCTGGTGTGCACTGTTCCGCAACAGCAGCACAGTGCGAGCATCACAGAGCACGGCAGGAAGCTACAGGCAGAAGAAGTCACGGCCCACGACCCTGACTCCGACACGCGAGCCATGCCGAGCCGCTGCCAGAGGTCTCACTATACACTTTCTTTTGTAAATAGGAGAATTCACTGAAAGAATGACTAAGTGTATAGTATAATAAATATGTGAACCATTAACACATTCATTTATTACCATGGCTCTGTGTATATTGTACGTAAGTCTGTTTTTTATGCGGGTGGAACAGCACAGGTCATTTTACACCAGCATCACCACAGATGCGTGAACAATACCTGGCACCATATGTTACAGCACTGTCACCAGGAAAGAGGACATTTCCAGCTCCTTTATAATCTTACAAAATCACCATCTTATGTGTGGCCTGTTGTCTTAACACTATTATTAAGTGGCATAGGTAGTTAGTGTATATGTATACACACATATAATAGCATATACATATAATCCAACAAACATTTATTAAATGTCTATTATATTTAAGTGGGCAAAATGCTGCCAGGTGCCAAGGAGCAGAATGAAATGATTAGCTTTAAAATTATATTTTAGACAGGTGTGATGGTGCAAGGCTGAGGCCAGCCTGAGTAACTCAGTAAGACCCTGACTCAAAATAAAATCAAATAAAATGTAGAAGTTTTAGAGAAGCAGCTCAGTGATAGAGTGCCTGGCATGCACAAGGCCTTGAGTTCAATTCCCAGTACTGAAAAAAAAAAAAAAAAAAAGACATTTAATGGCTTTGGATATATATCACTCAACTGTCTTCCAAAAAGATTATATTATTTATTTATTTATTTATTCTGATACTGGGCTTGAACCCAGGGCTTTTACACTGAGCTACATCTCCAGGCTTTTTTATTTTTTACTTTGAGACAGGGTCTCCCCGAGTTAAGCTGCCCAGGCTGAACTTGCACTTGTGATCCTCCTGTCGCAGCCTCCCAGAGCACTGGGATTATGCCTGGCTTCTATTATTTTAAAACCTGCATTGACACACCAGGTGTGTCCTGAGTGCTTCAATCTGCTCAACAAGTACAACAGCTTCAGGAGGTAGCACTGTCATCATCCCACCACAGATAAGGGCACTGGGGCGCAGAGAGACAAAACAACCTGCTCAAGGCCACACTCCTGGCAGACCGGACCTGGGTTCAGACATGAGCAGTCTGCTGTCATCATCTCTGCCCAGGTGCTGGCCTGTGGTGCCAACCTCAAAACATGAGTTCTTCTAGGGCCTCAGCCGCTATGGCCTTTTCCTGCCTTTGGCCACTTTATTAATAAGAGTTAACTATTAAATCATTGCTGTCTTTGTGTGTGTGTATGTGTGTGTATGTGTGTGTATGTGTTTTAAAATAGATGGTGAGAGGAACAAAACATTTTGCACTAGCCTGCTATTTATAATTTGGACTCTCTTGTTTTAAAATTAGGAACAAAAAAGTTTTGAAAAATTAAAATTAAGAACAATGGTATCTCACCAACTCAACACTGAAAAACTATTTTAAACTTATGTTATGGCCAGGTGAGGAGGGATGAAGGAAATAGGAGAGTGAGCTCTTTAGAAGGCTTGACAAAAACATTCCAGGTACCAAACTGGCCATCACTCACATCATTTCATGCTAAAAAGATAAATGATGTTTTTTAGGCTGGGTGTGGTAGTGCATGCCTGTAATCCCAGCACTCAGGAGGCTGAGGCAGGAGAGTCACTGTGAGTTCAAGGCCAGCCTGGGCTACATAAGAGAGTTCCAGGCCAGCCTGCACTATACAGTGAGAACCTGTCTCGAAAGAAAACAAAACAAAACAATAGAAAACAAATAATGTTTTTAGGATTTCCCTCCGGTCACTTGGGCCAGAAGCTATCATTTCATTTGAAATATTAGTACCATAGCTAGTGAATCACTGTGATAACTCTTTCATTGTTTTGTCCTAAATATTTCATAGGCTTATCCTGGACAAGGCAACCACCAGAGGAAACTGAGCAACGTGGTAGTTTTCTAGGGCATTTAGTCAGCAGGCAGATGGTTCCATGGGCATTCTAATGCAACAAGGCCACCCCATGAAGTTTCTGGGGCCACCACCAGGTGCTCAGAGCTGGAGCCAGGGAGCACATCCAATCCAACCCATTTGCTTTTCAGTTACAGATTCAAGGGCCCCTGAAAGAATAAATTGTTGGGGTCACTGGGAATAGCAAAACCTGCGTGTCAATCACACACACTTGACTGATGGGAAAAAAAGTCCCACAATGCCGAGCTTGTCACTCCCAGCCCCATACAAGGAAGGTCAAGCCAGGGGCACTTTGGAACTAGCTCCAGTTAATTGAGTGGCGCCACAACTAGGAAGAGTACAATTGAGGATTCTAAATTGTGCTGGAGCCTAAGGAGAAGAGCGGTGCCATATTTTTCCATGGATACTATATTTTTAAGTCTAGTAAGACACATTTTGGATCTGGTCTTATTGAGCCTCTGCTGTGTGTGTGACATTGTTGACAATCCTTTGTTCCATTAGTCACCAAGATCCATCCCTTCCCACCTCTCCCATTCTTCCGGCTATTCCTTTGCAAACTCACATCTGGGCTTCCCTTCTCCAGAACTTTATCCTGCCTATGTATTCTACACATGCTTTGCACATGGTTTGGCAGGAGGAAGGTAGGCATGGCTAGAACTAGCCGGGAAGCTAGGCGTGACCAAATAGCT